CCCTTTCCCCTCCTCATAACCATAAGTTTGTTTTCTATGTCTATGAGTCTGTTTCCATTTTATATATAAGTTCATTTGTCTTTTTTTTTAGATTCCACATATGAGTGATAAAATATGGTATTTTTCTTTCTCTTTCTGGTTTACTTCACTTAGAATGACATTCTCCAGGGCCATCCATGTTGCTGTAAATGGCATTACTTTATTATTTTTATGGCTGAATAGTATTCCATTGTATAAATATACTACATCTTCTTTATCCAGTCATCTGTTGATGGACATTTAGGTTGTTTCCATGTCTTGGCTATTGTAAATAGTGCTACTATGAACACTGGGGTGCAGGTGTCTTTTTGAATTAAGGACCTCTCTGGATATATGCCCAGGAGTGGAATTGCTGGATCATTTGGTAAGTCTATTTTTAGTCTTTTGAAGAATCTCCATACTGTTTTCCACAATGGCTGCACCAAACTGCATTCCTACCAACAGTGTAGGAGGCTTCCCTTTTCTTCACACCCTCTCCAGCATTTATCGTTTGTGGACTTTTGAATGATGGCCATTCTGACTGGTGTGAGGTGATACCTCATTGTAGTTTTGATTTGCATTTCTCTGATAATTAGTGATATTGAGCATTTTTTCATGTGCCTATTGGCCATTTGTATGTCTTCACTGGAGAATTGCCTCTTTAGGTCTTCTGCCCATTTTTGGATCGGGTTGTTTGATTTCTTTCTTATTAAGTCATATGAGCTATTTATATATTCTGGAAATAAAGCCCTTGTCATTCTCATCTTTTGCAAATATGTTCTCCCATTCCATAGGTTGTCATTTTGTTTTGCTTATGGTTTCCTTTGTTGTGCAAAAGCTTGTAAGTTTAATTAGGTCCCATTTGTTTATTTTTGCTTTTATTTCTATTGCTTGGGTAGGCTGCTCTAGGAGAACGTTGCTGAGATATATGTGAGATAATGTTGCCTATGTTAAACTTTATTCTTCACCTTCTCAGAGAGTGGAACTTGGCAGGAGTTGGAAACCCAACTCAAAGATATAAGAATCATCAGGACTCTTACCCCTATGGACTTTGGGGAGAGGGGAAGACCCAGAACCAGAAGGCAGAATCAGGGGAAACTCACTGAAAGGATTTAGGAGGAATGGGGACTTAACAGGAAGGGTTACTTCACGTGTCAGCAAGAGCTTTGGAGTTCCTGATTCAAAGTTTGATTTGTGTAGATTAAGGAGAAACTTGTTTAAGATTGAGCATCCTTGAATAGACGTCCTCCTCTGGTCCAGCTTAAAATTGTTTTACTCCTGTTTCACTCCCCACAATGCCTAAAGGTGCAAAGGAAAACCAGTCTCTCTACTCACTGCCCAGCAGGGGGCACACCTGAGTGAAACAACACCTCCTGGCCACAGAGAAGGATCACACAGCCTGGTGACACTATCACTCAACAACAGAGTTCTTAGCCATTTACCTTTATTGAGTCTTTGCAAAGCTTTTAGTTTTCCTAAAAGAATTCCTTTTATATTCATTTTTTGTTTTATAATTTATTTAAACTATAAAACTACAACACCTAGTACATTTGGCATAAATGGATTTGGGAACAAACATAACCAATCTCATTTACCATGTACCTGAAGGAACCAGCAGGAATGCAGCCTTGCCTTTATTTTAATATCATCTTTCACAGAGGGCTTGACTGGCCTTCAGTGAAGCCTTCAGCTGCTGCTTCTTCAGCTGTTAATATTTGAGGTTTACTCCAAACACAAGAAGTGAGAATTTCACTCAGAACTTAACACTGAAATCCACACAGGATGGATCTGAGCATAAATAAACAAGTCATCTACAGGAGAGAAAACAGCTCCCCAGGCGAACTGTCTACTGTCTAGATTGCCAACTTGATTAAACATGTCTGAGGAAAGAAAGCAGAAGGTGCTGAGGAAGAGGGTAGGGAGCACCCTATGGAAGCAGGCCCAGAGATAGACATCCTCAGCAGTGTTGGGGGTATGGGGACCTGGATAATGGGCAGAGTAGAGTATATTTCCACTTCTTAATGGCAAGTCTCCTAACAGTATGACTAGCCCAAGGATTTTAGGGTTCTAAAGACATCTCTGTGTGAGATGGATGTATTAACCATCTGACCTAGTGTTATAAGCATAACTTCCTTTGTTACATTCCATGCCCAACAAAAAT